CAACTTGCTTAAACTGTCATCTAAATCAGTTGATTAGCGGGAAGTGAAAAAAAAATAACCACAGTAATCAAAGTAAACCTGGAAAAGTTAATCTAAATCATGTTACTCTTAATCTTGAATATTTTTTGACATTAAGTTAATCCAGATAAAAGTTAATCTCATCAAAGATATAACAGAAAATTTTGAAAGTTTGAAGAAAATAATTTCATTAGCTATTCATCTGAAAGATTAGTTTAGTTTGTAAGTTGAAAGTTAAGTAAAGAAATTAAATTGTAACAAATTAAACTTTTCTCTTGGTGATTAATTAATTGAGAAAAAAAAAATTAAGTTAAATTTTATGCAAAAAATTAATCGTAATATAAAAATAACAACAATAACAGGAGGGTAAAGCGTTGAAACGATTAATGTTATTTAATCAATTTGAAAGTTAATAAACAATCAATCATATTAATTGTGTAAAGTTTTAATGTGTATACAATTAAATTAACTTTTGGACTGTTAATTGCATTCAATTTACTAACGATGAAAAATCAATGAGCAAGGATACAGATTAAAGTGAAAGGTAAGAAATTATCAGAAATGATTAACAGTGGGTGGTTTTTCCAGGTGATTTTGATGAATGATATCTTGTTGATATTGATGAATACAAGGATGATGATGATGTAACTGCAAGGGTACATTAACAATATCACGAGAGAGAGAGAGAGAGAGAGAGAGAGAGAGAGAAGATGAAAAGAAAAAAAAGTTTTCGATAAAAAATTAAATGAACCAGAATATTTTCATGAGATTATCAAGGTAAGGTTGATGGGGAACCCTGGAAGCTAATAATGATGGATGGCTTGTCTCACCTTTTCAAAATACAATTTCTTCATCTTTATCATCATCATCATCATCATTACGTCTCTCTCTCTCTCTCTCTCTCTTTCTTTCAGTTTTTACGGTGAAGTCCAGTAGTTACCACTGGTGTCAAGCCTTTACTTTGATCTTGATAAACTTTACTCAGGATCTACGGTCTACTGACAGGGAAAAGTACCAATGTCTTGCCATGGGATCAGACCCTTTGTGAATAACCCTTACCTCGAGGCCATTCCTTACTACACCCGATTGGGTACGTCGGCTAAAGCACACTGGATTATGCACCTTATAAGCCACTGTGATTCTCCTGGCATGAGCCCCTGAACCAGAATAGTCTCTCTTATTAGAAAAATCAGGTTGAAGTGAAAAATAATAAGAAACTTCAATGAAACAAAAGATGATGAAATTGATGAGGAAAAAAGTGATGTTGATTGAGTATAATTCAAAAAATATTCAGTGAAAGTGAAATATCAAATGAGATTTCATGAACCCTATCGTGAGACCTCATTTGTTTCATGATGATTAAGTGATAATCAATCAGACTTAATGACAATCAACAAAAAAAAAGTTAATTCAAAATGATTAGTAAAGCTGATAACGGTTGATAGTATTACAATCAATTGTTTGGGTTTAGTTGACTAATCTATTGGTTCAATGAAAACAATTAAAGTTTAAGAATTGACAATTAAACAAGTTAACACAATTTGTTTAATAACTCGTGATGATTACAACCAATAAATTGATTTGATTGTTTGTAAATCATTTAGATCATGATCAACAATTAACTTTCACTAACTTTCAACAACAACAAAAAATCACTTTCATTTCGTTTGATTGTTGATATTTACCTTTCTTAATTGTTGAAACATTTACAATTGATTCTCTCCAATGATTTACTGATTAACGAAACATTTTCCTCTACAATGATAGAATGACAATTAAGTTAATTGTATTAAGTGATTCCAAAATTATCGCTAAAATCCAACGAGCCATTGAATCATTACAACGAAATTAACCTTCAAATGTTTAGAAACTTTTTCTCTCTTTTTTTTTTAATCATTTACCTAATTAACTTGATTTTAGAACAATTAAATTTGGATAAACTTGTAATTAATTTCAAGTTGACAAAAAAGTGCTCTTTCAATTAATACGTTTTCGCCTAATTGTTGTTGTAATTAATTTAGTTCCAATATTATGTATTATTAACACGTTAGTTAAATTGTTACCATTTAATTACATGTTAATTTGTTTTCTTCTTGTGTTGGTTTGTCTGTATGTTAATCTGTTGATTTTAGTTTCTCATGTTAATCTAATTGTTAATTCATTTAATTTTCTGTTTCTTAATTTTTTTGACAATTTAATTGAGATTAGGATTTATGATTTATTTATTAAGTAAACCAACAATATTAAAATATAGTTAGTTTAATTTTAATTTTCCTCTTTTGATACCTTGCTGTTGATTTATTAGCCACTTAACAATTAACATTTTCTTAAACAGCAATTAACCTTCAACAATCAACAATTAAGTGAACATACAATTAAACAGCAAAAAAAAAAGGTTTGGACGAAGTTAAATCAATTCAATCATTTGATTTCTATGATTATGATTAAATTATATTGTCTCTTAATGAGATTTTCATCTTGATTATCAAAATAAATTAAAACCAATCAATCAATTTGGTTTGGTTAAGTTGCTAAACAACAATCAAATTAATAATCATAATGATAATTACAATTATTATTATTGACGTATTGCTATTAATTTAGTTGATCATTTATCTTACAATTTATAATTTATTTGGTTGATGATAATTGTTAACTGTTAATGACAACAAATGTCATTTAGTTACCTGTCAAAATTGTTAACTGATCATTACAATTGATGTCAATTTATCAACAGCAAAATTAATCAATTGTAATCATCAAATTTGATTGTTAAGCTTTTTTTATATTGTTTAATATTTATGTTAAAGTATCAAATGAAATGTAATGATTAAGATGATTAAGCAAAAATTAGATTTAAGGTTGAGGTCAATTAGTTTAAATTGTTGTTGTTGTTTATTAACAATTTGATTCAGTTTATGGATTAGTAATCATGATTACCATTATAAAGTAGAAGATGATTACTGTTAATTCAAAATAGTGGACAATTAATTAGGAAATGATCAAGTTTGACACAATTAAACTCTACAGGAGATTCTGATTAACTCATTCTAATCCATTTAATCAGTAAATCACCTGGAAGATTTAGTTAAAGTTTTCTTTTCGAGTAGTAGTAGTTGAAGAAAAAAATTAATTTGATAAATTCAAACTTAATTGTTGAGGTTTAAAACTAAATTAATTCATAAGTTAATCAAACTTACTTTGTTTCCCACTTTGAGCGCCATCTATTGGTAAGATTAATTTAAAGACCAAAAACTTGAACCAAATTGATTCAAATTGTTTGTTACTTATCATTTTTCAAATTAATTGTTTTCCTATTGACTGATTAAATTTTAATCAGGTAATATTGATTAGTAATGATTAATTGATTGAGAAGGAAAATTGAGTTAAATTTTATGCAAAAAAGTTTAACGTATAAAATTAATAACAGGAGGGTAAAGCGTTGAGACAATTAATGTTATTAAATTAATTTGAAAGTGAACAAACAATCAATCATATTAATTGTGTAAAGTTTTAATGTGTTTACAATTAAATTAACTTCAATTGGTCGGTCAATTGCTTTCAATGCACTTCTAACGCTGATATTAGATAAACCTTATCTGATAAGTTCGGTAAAGCTAAAGATATTCGTCAGCTCAACTTTATACTTTAAGCTGTTTCTCGGCTTATAATGTTCAGCCTTTTGAGAGAATGGATTAATTCAATAACCAAAGGATATGTGACATTTTTCGACATATTAGGTACTTAATAAGTTAGTCCACATTCAACAATGAAATAGAAGTGAACAGTTGATGACGAGGCTGATTAGCTATCGACAGTTTTCATTACATTGGTTGTGTGACAGTTTCAGTGTCTCAGCCTGATACTTTTCCGGGTCTATTGGGTCTTCGTCAATAGTGACCCTTAATAGTGAAAACCTAAACTAATTTGTAAGCTAAACCAGCACTACTAATTGAACAATTAAGTCAACTTCCACATGTATGTATATGCGATAGCTGTGATCGTAAGCCGAGAAAAATGAGCTTTTCGATTGATAGCTTGATTCACAATCGATTTATTGAGCTATTAATTTATAAAATAACATATTAATAGTAAATAGAAAGCCAAACTCGACGAATTTTTCAAATTTGATTGATGTTATTTGATATTCAATTAATAACAATTTAGAAACAACGATTAAGCGAGGAAATTAGTTGTCAACGATCGACCAGGTGGAGACACAAGCAAATAGCAAAACTGCGGCGAAATTAATTAAGTTAATTAATTATAATTCAAGTGACTATTCTTATAACTTTTTTTTATGAATTTTTACTGAACTTATTCACCTATTCAACCATTAGTTTGCTAAGAAATCGAAACAAAGTGTTAAGTTATCTGAACGAAACTCTGGCCTGAGAATTGTAGATATTTCTAGTCAGTAAAAGTGAAACGTTCTTTTAACGAATAAAAAGTTGACCCTCGGCGCTCAATTTCGTGTTAAAAAGTCAGCCAGTGCTGAGGAAAAGTGATCGTAAGTTTCGACTTTGAATGAGATTAACCATCAGATGACACTGACAAAAAAGATCCATTGTCCCAACATAACCTCAAACTGCTCACAATTCAAAAGGTCATTTTTTCAGCATATTGACCATTCTTACTATTTACCTGTGTCTCCGACCGATTGATCGATATCAACTAATTTTCTCTTAGAATCAGTCAACTTTTACTTTGACAGTTTTATGGTCAATATGGTTGAACGTGTTAATTGCACGTGAACCAGGGCCTTCAGGGCGACTCTCTGAAGTTAATGTCTGAAGCATTAGCCACTTGGCGTAAATAAATTCCCAATACTCAACTGCTCTCTCTTGTTGGTATTTGTAATTGACGATAAAACAATTAAAAGAACCGCCAACGACTTGATAACAATTCAATCTCCACCCATGAACGTTTACACCTTGCGATCAAATTAACTGTTGAAAATGATTCTCTAATTAGTAATTACTAATTACTAATTACTCAAGTTTAAAGAGTCTGGATCAATAAACAAATTTTATGGATTCAGAGTTGGTTTTAAAAATTTCAAAGTTGAATCAATTAAATGGTCACGAAAAAAAAAGTTCATTATCGTTAATCAATGAATCAGCTGATCCATAATCAAGGTAACAAATTAATTTTTTTTTCTTAAATTTTCTGCAATTAAACATGATAAATATACTAAACTTTTCCTTAATTTTTCTCGCAATTTTTTTCTTTCTTTCAATTAGAGAATTGATTCCAATTCCAATTAAATCAACTTCATCTTTCAATGTTTATTTTACATTACTAATGTTGAGACTATTTAATCAACAATAACAACGAACTGATGTTTACTTTTGATTTGTGATGATAATCAGATGATTGAATTTAAAATTCAACAAGTTTTAGGTGAGTTAATTGTTTGTTCACATTTTAATTCTTTACACAATTTATATCAAAATAGTGATACCAATCTAACAATCTAATGATTAGTGATATTTTCCCGATCCAAACCAAAAAAAAATTCCATAAACGGGTAACACTCGCGATTCTCCCCAAAGACTTTCGAGACAATTCTTGCCCTGGCATAGAGAACCCACGTGACATCGTGGGCTAAAGTTCAAAACTGACCATTGGGCAACTGATCAAATCCAAAAATTGGTAACTTCTCTTGACGCTGAATAGCAGCGGCTTCGTTGCCAATGGTAACGACTTTGCGCTTCTTTCAAATTTTTGCGTTTCTCTTTCATTTCTTTCCTTTCTCTCTCTCTCTCTCTCCTTTGCCTCATACACGCGCTCAGTCATTACTGTTTTTGTAGAATTATCAGTTTATTCATACGTTGACAATTAGAGATAATCAAAAGAAAAGGTGAAGGAGGAGCTCAGAGGGAACTCATATGATAATGTAAATTGATTTTCTCTGAAAAAATTCAAGGTTTTTTGGTGAAAAAAGGTGGAGAATTTGATTGTGAACATTTAGTTTATTAGTTGATTTCTTTTTCACAGAAATTGTTTATAATCTAATTTAATCAGGGCCAATAAGTCCAACGAATTGTTACTTTAAAATTGTTCGAATCTTTTTTTTTTCTCTCCCCTTTTTCAGAGCTTCTTCTTAATCATTCCAAATGATTTATCTCCCATTCTAAAGTATCTCTCATGTTAATTAACCCCCACCAGTGTCATCATCAAGTCTAATTAATCGTCACAATTACAATTATCACCATCACAATTAGTTGAAGTCAGTATTTGATCAACTTGCTGCTTCTTCAGTTTGACTCATTCTCAAATAGACTTGATTAATTGTACATTACTTTTTTATTGTTGTTATTGATTTATAATCGATTGAATAACTAATTGTTGACTGTTCCTGTTTCTAATTGTTATAAAAATGAATAACAAAAAGATTTTAATTGTTGTTGGGACTATTGTATGTGCTACAATATTTGTCATTGTTTTGTCCATCTTTTTAACTGGTTCATATTTTGGTGACCAAGATGAACCTCCAAAGTTAATTGTCATCTCTTTCGATGGGTTTAGAGCTGATTACGTTTCTCCGACCTTAACTCCGACCCTTTGGTCACTCAAACAAACGGGAGTGACCGGTAGGATGTTCCCTCAGTTCATAAGTAAAACTTTTCCCAATCATTTCTCAATAGCCACTGGACTTTACGAGGAATCTCATGGAATCGTTGCCAATAATATGTACGATCCTGAGTTGAATTTAACATTTGACCTCTCCCATAGCACTCAAGTTTGGTGGGACAATGGGTACTCATTACCTCTTTGGGTAAGTTTTCCAACTCATTCCATTGATTATTAATTAAGTTGCACCATTTATTCAATGAACTAAATTCAGATGGAAGCTAAACTTTTCTATTATTAATTATTTCTGTTGATAATCAATTGGAACCAATGATTTTTCCAACCTCATCAATCTTCATCGAACTTTAATTGTCATTGTTATTATGCTATTTACTACACATCATTTTCATGTTAATTAGCAACAATTAACTGTTATTGTTATTTTTTTCCTTGTTGCTTTTCCAAATTCTAGATAGCAAATCAGAAAATGGGTAATCGCAAGAGTGGAGCGATCATGTGGCCTGGATGTGGGTTCACCTTTGGTGGTGATCGAGCATTTTACTCAGTTGAATTCAACCGATCAATTGATATGAAGGGTCGAGTTGATATTCTCATGAATTGGTTTACCGATAAAACTAATCCTGCTAATCTTGTTTTCCTTTATATTGAAAATCCCGATGAAACTGCTCACAAACATGGACCCTTTGGAAATGAAACTTTGGCCCAGGTTCGAATGGCCGATGAAGCGGTAGCCTATTTATTGGAAAATTTAGATAATCACAATTTAACCTCATCAACCAATATCATCTTGGTTAGTGATCATGGTATGGAAGAGTTTAAATCAACCACTACCGTTAATTTAACCGAATTGGTTCCTGATCAAACTTCATTCCAACAATTTGGTGGATCTCAAGCAATTAGTATTCTACCTAATCCTGGAGTAGAAGATCAAGTTTACCAAATGTTCAACACTCTTGGTAAAACTAATCATTTCAGAGTTTACAAGCGAGATGAGATTCCCGAGGAATATCATTACAGGTAATCAACAATTAACTAATCTCCTGAGTAAACTTTAAATACCCTTAACATGTAATAATCACACAGAATTAGTCTCAATGTTATACATTGATAATTCAATAGTATTTTCCACCATTAATTTCCACCATGAGAACAGATCGTTTCCCGATTAATAATCAAGTATAAGTAATAATTACTTGTTCTTTAATTGTTATACTATTTTAAATATCCCTTCAAACTGTAATCAGATAAATTGACAGTTTATTGTGTTGATTTAATTACTCATCTTTTTCCCATTTAGCAATTGACATTAACTGAAAATTGGTTCAGCAAAGTCTAAAGTAATTGAGATTAAAAAGTAAATTGTCACAATTATAATTGAATAACAATTCTCACACCCCTCCAACTAAAACAATAAAATTACAATTGTTTAAATTGTTACTATTATGGTAATTGTTACCAAGAATAATTAATTGTTTGCTTTTCCTATTCCAGAGATAATATAAGAATCCAACCAATTCTATTGGAGGCTGAACCAGGCTATGAAATAGCGTTCAGTTCCTGGAAACATCCTGATTCCATGTGGGGTAATCATGGTAATAATAATACTCAACCGGAAATGGAAGCGCTTTTTATTGCCTCAGGCCCTCAATTCAAAGATTCATTCAATTTAAATGGAACCTCATTTTTCAACATTGATCTTTATCCAATTATGGTTGATATACTCAACCTCAATGTTGGTAATTACAAATGCAATGGAACTGATTTAATTACGAGAAATTTACTTGCTGAACTTTAAATTATTAGTAAAATTGTGTAATTGCATTTATTAAACTATTCTTTCATGTATTAGAACAATTGAATTTTAATTCAAATTATCAAAGAAAATTTTTCTTCAATTTCATTACAACAATTAACTTTGAGAGAATCTAATTATTCAAGAATATTGAAAATCTTTGTTCAACTTTTTTTTTTGTAGAATTAAAAATTTATTTTCTCTTGAGAAAAAATTTCAATCAATTAATTAATTTAGTGTGTTTTACATGTAAAGTTTGAATCATATTAGAAATAATTGATTATATTAATCAAAACATTTTCTATTAATAATTTAATTCTGTCAACAATTTAAGTATAAATGTAAAGCTGAACAGCGACAGGACATATTCATAGATGTTGAGCTTTATTCAAAAATCGATGATCAATATAACAGATCAAAGGTAAGAAATAATTAGAAATCAGTTTTAATAGAAGTAGTTTTTTCCAGGTTATTTAGATGAAATTCAAGTGTCATTGTTAATTAGATTAGTCTTTCTCTCTCTCTCTCTTTGTCTCTTTATCTCTTTCTTTCTCTTTCTCTTTCTCTCTTTGTTTTGTCACGAATTTCCAAGTTCATTTTCAGTGATTTCATTTAATCCCCGCACTGACCACAAGTGATACAATTACAGGTACAACAAGCTATATCCCAGATACACTTGAGGATACAGCAAACGAGTCCACCGACAACGAGTAAAACACCAACAATGATTGCACCAATTACGATCCCTTCCATGATTGCGGTTTAGATTTTCAGTCTTAAATTTGGGTTGAAACCAAAAAGATTATCAAATGAAGAGAAATAAAAACAAAGAGAAAATCTTGTTTCAAAAAGAGAGGATAAGTTAGGAAAGAAAACTCTGGTTAAACAAAAAGTAATAACAGAAAATAAAGTCAAACAAGTGTAAGTCCAGTGTAAAGTTGGAGAAAACAAAATGACAATTAGAAAAAAAATAATAGAAATTAAAAAGAAAAGGAAAAAAGAAAACAAAACGAGGTTAAAATGGCGATCACATTAGTTGTTAGTAACAAGTTTTTAGTTGTTCCGATCCGAAAGTTGATCGATCAGATCGATTTCAGAAGGAAAATGGATCGATCTCAACTTTCAGAGGATCGATCACCAGAAAAGCCACGTGACTTTCGATATAAACTCAATTCAAAAGTTTCATTCATCAAGAAAACAGACAGAGTAAAAAGAAAGAGAAAAACAATTCGCCTTTTTCAACCGCCAAATTTGAATTTGAAAGGATCGGGGATTTGCGAAAATTGGCCTGGTCCATTGAAACCTAGAATCCGAATATCTCTAGTTCCCATAAGTCTTGACCGAATCTTCAAAGAACTTGCTTTTCCATCTCAACACTAGATGTCTTCACTTCGAGTCCTTTACCATTCGAAATGAGTTTTCAAAAGTATAAGATAATATCGCGATAACAGAGACGCAGATTATCAGGTTCACTTGTACAAAGTAATTGCGTTAAATTTGTTTCCAACTTTTATATTATATCAAAGAAAAGGTCATAAAACATTTTCTTTGTGCGAAAAAACTTTGACAATTAAATCATCACATAAATAAAAGGTAAATTCTGTCAATTTAAATGTAAATAATGATTGTTATGATCTGACTAACTTGTTAGCAATCAAATTGTAATCAAGATCAATTGATCAATCATTATTAATTTATGTATAGATATTACATGGTTGACTACGATTCTAATCATTATGGTAATCAATTATTTTGATGTTTTAACACAATTTGATAGTTAACACTTAAAGAATTGACAAATGTTACATTTAATTCATATTAGAATGTAAAACAACACCAATATAAGAATCTATGTATTACTAACAAATATCAATTCGTTCCGTTTCCGGCTTTTTTTGTCCAGTTATAGTCTCGAAGTGTCAAGAAATAAGTAAAAAGTTCTCGTATCTCAAGTTACAACTTTCATGGTTCGAAACTTTTTTTGTTCATTCTCAAAGTGCTAATAACAATGAGAAACAGAGACATACACACTTTTAGCTGTTATGGTTTAACCGGCATAACAATCAACCCGGACCAAACTTAGGGAACTCAGGACTTTGGTAAAGTCCAGAATAAGCCCAAGGTTGATTAATTAGTTGTTCTGGTAGAACAATCAAATAACACAAACAATTAACACAAACGAACTTTAATAAAGTAATTAGATAAGTGGCTTAATTAGTTGACTCAAGAGTAATTGTAAACAAGAACGATAAGAAAAGAGTAAGTGTTATTATGATTGGTAATCAGAGTCTATTTATATGTAGAAAAATAGAGGAAAAGGAAATGAGATAAAGTAAAGAATGTAAAAAAAGGGAAAATAAGTAGAAAAGGGAAAAGCAATGGTCCCTTGAGAGTGTCTACCAGACACATAATGGCAGCGGTCAAGAAAGGGCATAACATTACCCCCCACTGAGACTTGTTCGACCTCGAACAATTAAATAGATGGACCAATTCCACTGAGAGAGACACGAAGAGTAGCACCAAGAGGAATATTCCGTTGTCCCAAAGCGATAACATGAAATGGGCGAAAACCAAGTTGATGTTGACGAAGCCTCTGGTTTCGTATGATTGGTGTGTGTCTCATAATGACCATGGTTCCAGGATCTTCATTGGTAATGGCTCGGAATCGATCAGCTAATTCAGCTCCAGTTGAATCCCAATGTAAATTGGTTATAACAACGGGGTCACCACGATAATGAATTGTCGCCGACATCGTATAGTGAACACCAGCAGCACGAATATGGTTTGACAAACCAGAATTTGAATTAAATTCATTAATTGTTCTTTGTGCTTCGGCGAAGCGATTCCTTGTTGAATTAGCTTCAACATTCAGATTACCACAAGTTAAACGAAGACGATCTAATTCTGATCTCATTGTGGCAATTTCTCGATTGAGATCGTCTATTTCGGAGAGTCTTTGTTGATATTCGATTGGATCGACTCTTCTTATTTGTTCGGGGAACACATCGGGATCATTTAAATGATCTTCGATTCCAAGATTCAATTCGGGAACAGCCTCTGGTAGAGGAGATACATTGGGTGATGAAATTTCGATCACATTTTGTTGAGTCTCTGGTAGAGACGATGGTCTAATTGCTTTCGGTAGATCTTCACAATCTCTACAAGGGTAAACATGACCTGGCATTACCAATTTATAGAAAGGGCAATAATTGTCATGAAACGGACAAGCTAATTCATGACCAATCCAATCTTTGAGATAAACTATCTCATTTGGTTCAATGGTACATTTCATTTCAAGAAAAAGATAATTGTACAAACGATAACCACTAATGTGAATGACATTCACAGCACCATCAAAAAGTAAAGGTGTGTTACACCTAAGGGGACAAGCGTGATTATCCATGAGTCGTTTCATGTTGTCAGAACATTCCATACAGAATAAAGCTGAACACATTGTTTCATCATCACGAAGATGACAAAGAGGCGTTGTACTTGGAACTTCATGACAAATTGTGCAAAGAAAACGAGAGAAACAATTTGGTTGATCACTTGGTCGTTTAACAAACAAATCTGGATGGTATCCATTTGATTCCACCGGAATGAATTGATCTGGATGTTGTAATCGTCGTTGTCTTGAAGTGCGTGCACGATAAGCGGCAGCATCTTCACGATCTTGTCGCATGTGAATACCAGCAATGTTACCAACATTGTCCCATTCGTTATTTGAAACACCAAAATCCATTTTGCTTCGGTGAAGCTCAAAAAAAATTGAAATAACAATAAGAAAAACTAAAACTGTACCACAGTTATAACAAAGAAGAAACTTAGTCAAAGGGTAAATGATGAAAAGACAAAGGGAAAGTATAAAGTGGATACACTGAGTCAAAGAGTTGATGTCAAGGAAACTAATTTTAAGCGCACTAATTAAATTAATCAGATGAATCATTAAGAATGTCAAATAAATCATCAACATGATCTTGTCCAAGAATTGAATATTCATTCTCTGATTGGTAATCAGATTCGCGTCTTACAAAATGACGGAGTCTTTCACAATGGACAAAATAAGTTAATGGTCGTCCGGATAATTTAGTTATCTCTGTAACTACTGGTCCGCGATTGGAGATTACACGAAATGGGCCAATAAAACGATCTTTAAATTTCTTATTTTTACCTTTGGTTGTCATTTTTGGAACTTTGAGATAAACCAAGTCTGGTGGTTTAAATGGTGATTCAACTCTACCAGAGTTGAAATATTTAGTTGCTTGAGATTGAGATTTTTCAATTTCTTTCTTAGCTTCTTCCCAAACACAATCCATATAGACTTTAGCATCTTTTAATTGTAACCCATAAGGTAAAGATAATTGGTTTTCGATTGGTAATCGACACTCAGTTCCATGAATAGCAAAGAATGGTGAGATTTTGGTTGAAATATGAGGCGTTGAATTATACATGAAACAAATTTCTTTCACATACGAGTCCCAATTTTTGATTTTATCACAATAGATGTTTAGGGACATTCCAAGAAAAGCATTGAATCTTTCGGTTTGACCATCAGTTCGAGGATGATAAGCTGATGTTAGTTTGTGTTTGATTCCAAATTGTTTGAGAAAATCCTCAAATTCGACTGAGGTTAGATTAGTCCCTCTATCGGTTAGTAAATATTTTGGGCAACCAAATTGTAGAATCCAATGTTCATAAATTACCTTGATGATTGAAGAAGAATCCGCAACTTTGATAGGAACAGCAATTGAATATTTTGATAATTGATCGTTGATCACAACTATATATTCAAAACCATTAGATGATGGTGGTAATTGCATCAAATCCAAACTTATTTGACTGAAAATTACATGGGAAATTTTTAATGGTTGCATCAGGCCTTTAGGTGGGTGATTATCAGGCTTTTTGGTTTGGCAAACCACACAGCTTCTTATGTATTTGGTGATATCGGAACTCATTCCAGGCCAAAAGAAACGTTTCTTTGCTTTAGCGATTGTCTTTTTGACACCACAATGTCCACCACTTAACTGATCATCATGTAAAGCTTTGAGAACATCTTTTATCATTGATTGAGGTAAAATTGGAACGGGAG